CTTGCACAATAGTTTTCATCCCAAGGAAGCCATTTGTTTTAGGCAAGTACTTCTTCCCAGGTGTTATTTCCTGTGGTGGCAGTTAGATCATTTACAATAATCAGCTTTTTTGCTTTTCATTGCACGTGTACAAAAGTCCGTGACAACCACCATCGCCTAGTTTGCTTTAACCTACTCCATATCACAGCACAGCAATGCACTGTAAAATCACATTGATATACAGGACTAACCATAGAAAGTATAACAAAGTTACTGTGACAACTCTGGTTTCAGCAAGCCCAAATCCTCAGACATGTGCAACAATCAGGAGAATGAAAAGTGCAGCATTCGTATGGGGCTGGGTTGTTTGTTTTTGTATTAAAAGAATGCTGTCAACTTGATCTTTTTTAATTGACTTTTTAAAAAAAAAAAAAGATCAAATAAGGCACCAATGAAGTCCTGTTTACAACAATGAAGACACCATTAAAATCATTTGTAGTGTTTTTTTCTGCTCCCTTATTGAGGTTTTAAAAGGGTCTTTTGCCCAAGAGAAATAAAGCAAACGTGCTCAGGCCCATTCATCTTCTTCTGTTCCTCATTGTCCACACTCCTGTCTGCTACCTTTTCAGCAGCAGATTTGCGGCTGCTGTTCCTGGCAAATGTCCTCAAGCATGGGGAAGCAAAAAAGGTGAAACTGACTAAACACAAAGACCCAGATCCTCAAAGATACTTAGGCACCTACTCCCAATTAAATTAATGGGATTTAGGCAGGGCTGCACAGAGGTTTTGGGGGATTGGAGCAAAAACTGAAATTGAGGCCAGGTTGCAACACCACTGTCATAAATATAAAGGGAAGGGTAAACCCCTTTGAAATCCCTCCTGGCCAGGGGAAAGCTCCTCTCACCTGTAAAGGGTTAAGAAGCTAAAGGTAACCTCGCTGGCACCTGACCAAAATGACCAATGAGGAAACAAGATACTTTCAAAAGCTGGGAGGAGGGAGAGGAACAAAGAGTCTGTCTCTCTCTGTGTGCTGCTCTTGCCAGAGACAGAACAGGAATGGAGTCTTAGAACTTTTAGTAAGTAATCTAGCTAGGTATGTGTGTTTAGATTATGATTTCTTTAAATGGCTGAGAAAAGAATTGTGCTGAATAGAATAACTATTTCTGTCTGTGTATCTTTTTTGTAACTTAAGGTTTTGCCTAGAGGGGTTCTCTATGTTTTTGAATCTAATTACCCTGTAAGATATCTACCATCCTGATTTTACAGGGGGGATTTCTTTATTTCTATTTACTGCTATTTTTATTAAAAGTCTTCTTGTAAAACACTGAATGCTTTTTTCATTGTTCTCAGATCCAAGGGTTTGGGTCTGTGGTCACCTATGCAAATTGGTGAGGCTTTTTATCCAACATTTCCCAGGAAAGGGGGGGGGTGCAAGTGTTGGGAGGATTGTTCATTGTTCTTAAGATCCAAGGGTCTGGGTCTGTAGTCACCTAGGCAAATTGGTGAGGCTTTTTACCAAACCTTGTCCAGGAAGTGGGGTGCAAGGTTTTGGGAAGTATTTTGGGGGGACAGATGCGTCCAAACAGCTCTTCCCCAGTAACCAGTAATTGTTTGGTGGTGGTAGCGGCCATTCCAAGGATAACGGGTGTAATATTTTGTACCTTGGGGAAGTTTTGACCTAAGCTGGTAAAGATAAGCTTAGGAGGTTTTTCATGCAGGTCCCCACATCTGTACCCTAGAGTTCAGAGTGGGGGAGGAACCTTGACAACCACTCAAATTTGGCGCAGATGCCCCCCCCCCCATCATTTTGAGTGCCTTCTCAAACAGGGGATCCAGAGTAAACTGCCCCTTTTCCCACCCCATCCTGCATCCCTGGCCTTGGAGGATCTGGGACAAAGAGCTGTCAAATGCGCAAAGTAATCAAGCTAGAGAAACTTTTGTTCTTTAAACTTTTTTCAATGTCTCAGAACAGTAGTAGGTACAAAAGTTTCAAAGGGAAATGTGATTTTCTAATGATGGTGCCCCTTTAACAAAGGATGTGTCTGCACTATCAGAAAATCCCAAGGCTAGAAAAATAAATAGGGTACAGAAGAACCGCATGTGCCCATAGTTGCCATGCTGTGCACTATACTTACACTGTGGCCAACAAAGCGTAGAGTATAAAATCCTACATGACTGCAGGCTATTCACGGTGGAAGCCATGGGATGTGGGGACCACACTACATCTGGCTCTGTGCAGACTGGGATAGGTACATGTTCCATTGATTTGTACTCCATGTCTGAGAGATTTTTATGACATTAGTCACAAACAGCAACATGCAGGTGTGCAACCAGAATGAAAGAGAAGCTTAGACAGCAGGGCAGTGGAGACTGGATGGTTCAGAGGTGCTAGGGGATATAGGATCTTACATATCTAGGTCACCATGTCAAATCTAGCTGAATTTGGTGGTAGAAACAAGGTCATTACTATCAAACGGTTGCTTGGCGACATATGTGGAATGACGCAGCGGTCTCACTCCAGTGAATAGTGGACAGGTTTCCTCATTGCAAAACTCTCATTGTGATGCTCCTGTTGGCCATCACAGCAGAGAGTCCAAAGGTTAAACGAACCTAGCGGCTCCTCCATCGATTGTCCCTACTGAGTTGAGGTATGCTGGCAGCCCGATGTGTGGGAGGGGAGCATTGCTGCTTTCAGAGCTGCGCTGACGCTGTAGATAAGCTCCCCAGAGCTTTCAATCCAGCAACTTCCACAGACACTACAATCACTTGAAAAAAAAGCAGCATGGGTTGGTGCTGCAGACTGAACATCTGTTGGAAACTGAGCTCCCTATAGTTCAGTCATAACCTAGTCCATACAGCAGAGTTTTCCATAAAGACAACACAAGGGCCCGGATCCTACGGGGCACTGAGGCAGCTTTGCACCACTGTGACCACAACGAGGAGACTGGTGGCACCTCAAAGACTAACAGATTTATAAGGTGCCATCGGACTGCTCGTTGTTTTTGTGGACTAACATGGCTACCCCTCTGATATTCAGTTAATGAAGGATTCCCCAGGGCCTCCATAACAGCCTCCAGGCCACCCCTTTCCCATCCACCAGAACATGAGTCATAGTCAGGACTCTTTTGCATGCCAGCAACCCAAAGTTGCTGGAGAAGCCCCTGGAAGCAATTGGCAGCCAGCCTGGCTGCTATACATTGTGCCTGGGGACCAATCCAGTGCTCACCAGCCCAGGATGAAGGACTTCAAGCGACCTTTGCACAAGCACACCCTTCTGAACTGTGCCAAGAGCTCCTCAGGTGGATGCAGTCCTAGATCTGGGACAATCGGTCTTTTGATTTACAACAGCAGCCACACTGGAGGAGGCTGGCATTTTGATCACCAAAGCAATTCATGAGCTGCTAAAGAGCACAAGTAAATGAAACACTAAAAGCCATCATGGGCTCAGTTATGCAGCCAGTGCGTGCAAGTAACTGCCAATGGACCTGGCCCACCTTAAAAATTGGGTTCATTTTATATAAGGTTATCAACTGAATAAGTTCCCAACGTACACTGCCTATAGCAGACTTCTCAAAAATTAATAGTCCTAAACTCCTCTGTATTCACAGAAAATTATTTGCATTTTTAAAATGTCAGCAGTGTCCTGTCTAGATGACTCTATGCTTATTCCGTAGCATGACCAAAAGCACTGCATGGCTCTACAGTGGCAAATAAGGTAATATTTAAATTATATTGTAGAGCTGGGCCGTTCAGTACCTAACCTCACTTGTTTTAACCCAGGGCGTGTCTTTGGGAAATATACATCTTTCTCTTTTGTCGGACATGTAAGTCTGGAAATATTTTCAATATATGAAGCAGAACTGGGGTTATTGTGGGCAGGGACAGTCTGGTATAGAATGGTAGTGTTTTTTTCTTTCACGCTGCAAGCAAGCACACGCAGGGCACCAGTGAGATGGGCTGCCCAAAAGAAGAGAGCACAGACACTGTCTCAAGTACCAGCACTTCAGAAGATTCTCCTCTGCACGTTTTGCTGAGGCGTCTTCAGAGTTAAAACTGGAGCTGGGTACTGGGTCTCACTTTTCCTTCACGAAACTTTTGAGCAAAAGAGAAGCCTTTGGAAGAGTGATCTGCTTTCCGAATTCCAGTGGAAAATAGTGCTCAGCAGAAAAAAAGAAACTCATGTCTACACTGCAATTAAACCCCCACGACTGGCCCATATCAGCTGACTCGGGCTCCCAGGGCTCAAGCAGTGGGACTGTAAATCTGCAGTGTAGACATTCGGACTGGGGCTGGAGCCTTGGCTTTGGGACTCATCCCCCTCAAGGGGTCCCAGAGCCCAGTATCAGTGTAGTCCAATGGTGCCAAAACTTTTCTTGTCACATCCCCCCCCTTACCAGTAATGGACTCTGTCTGCGCCCTACCCCCTTTACCGCACAGACAAGGATTCCTCAGCAGAGGCACTTGGGCTGAAGGCAGAGAGAAGGACAGAACTGGGGATGGGGAGGAGCTGGGGCTAGAGGGGGAGCTGGCCTGGAGGCAGAGAGGGAATGACGGCAGAGCTGGGCTGGTGACAGAGTGGAGCTGTGGCAGGGGTCAAAGCTGGGCTGGGGGCACAGAGAGGCTGGGTGGCGCTCACTCCCCAGCCCCCACAGGGCCCTGCCACATGTTCCCCCGTAAATGTTCCTCTGCACCCCCATAGGAGGCCGCAGCCCACAGTTTGGGGACCACTGGTGTAGACATACCTCAGGAAACAAAGGAAAGGCTAGAAACAATGGCACTCACTATATGGTTTTATGAGGGTGAACATCAGGTACCTAGGGAAGCCAAAGGGCCATATTCTTAGTGGATCTTTGCCAGCTTACACCAGATGATGATCTGGCCCCAAATTGGTTTGCCTATCTTCTTAATACATGTTGTTTCTTTATTTCCTTTTCATATCGTTTAAATAAATATTATAACCCAGTATTTTCATGGCAAACATTCTGCTGGGCTTTTAAGAAAAGAAAAACAAAGACAGCCCACAGGGTTAGGTATTTTAGTTCCTCGAATTATAACAAATGAATGACATTCATGTTTGCTCAGATTTGCATCAAGATACACAAATCAGTTCAAATAACAATTACAGCATTCGTTTGACAAAGAAATATGATCATTTCCACTATAATTATGTATTGCCTGTGTATTGCCATGTCCCGACATTTGAAATTCAACTTCCACGTTTACGTGATCGTGCCTCCAGACTATTATCGTTAGTCCTACAGATACAGTAACCTTTGGTCCACATCCTCACCTCCCACGTTAAAAGGCACAGGAGGAGGCTTCTGGGGGAAAAACCACTCCCAGAGACCCTCCATGTTATCCCATTGGGGTTCAAAAGGAGGCAAGGCCCACCCCACATCTGTTGGATCCCTGAGAGACCTGGTGCATCAATATGGACACTCTACACCAGCTCTGGCCCTCACTGGGTCCTCTTGCTCCCTGGCAACACATCATCAGTGAAGCTGCACTAGCCAGAGCTCCTCACTGACTCCAAGAGCAAAAAAATTCTTGATCAAACTCATCCTCTTCTACTTCCTCGTATTTATACGGCTAGGGGACACAAAGCAACACTGCTAACCCTCACCCATCCCCAAGATCATACCGCTATGCTTCATCCCATGAAATCTCAATGGATTTTATCCTGTCAGTTTAACACATCATTAGGTGTAGAGACTCAGTGACCACAGGGGAACTAGAATACTCTAGAGTATTATTTCAAGCTGGGTCCCTTATTGGCCAGCAATTGCATATTATGCCTATTGATACTTTGCTACTTACGCATCAACCAGGTTTCCTTCCATTTAAGGGTTAGGAGCCTGTCATTCCAGATTTGGCATAGAACTGGCAAAAACTAAGTTCTGCCGTAGGTACCTACATTCAGATACTTCTAATCACATTTTCTGGTTGTAAAATAAATCAAAGACCATGTATCTGTTTCTGTCTCTCTTATTTTTTACAGTGATTGAGAGAGAGAGAGAGAGAGAGAAACCCATAGAGTTACTACATTTGACATTAACAGATGGTTTGACCTTTTTTTAAAAAAAAAAAAAAAGGGAGAATGATCTTGGGGTTACTGCATTAATCTGTCTTCTGATTCAGGAAATGTGTGTTCAGTTCCTGGCTCTGTCACATTCTTCCTTTATAACAGGGATGGCCAAACTTACTGACCCTCCGAGCTGCACATGACAATTTGCAGAAGTTTGAGACCCGGGGCTCACCTCCTGAGGCTTGGTGCTTCAGACCCATGGGAGGGGTCTGCCAGGGCTCGGGGCTTCAACCCTGCTCCTGCTGAAGCCCCAATCTCCAACAGGCATGCTCTGGGGAGCTGAAGCCCCGAGACGTCCCTCCCTGCTGGGCAGAAGCTCCTACCCCATCACACTGCTGCAAGGCAGAAATCCCGAGCTCTCCCTGCACGATCCCAGTCTGGTAGATGGAGAATAATGGGGGCGTAGAGGGCTCCACAAGGCACACTTTAACTGTAAAAGAGCCTCATGTGGCTCGGGAGCCCGGGTTTGGCCACCCCGCTATATAACCCTGGGCAAATCATTTAGGGTAAAATTTCCCCAAGTGACTAAGGAACCTAGGCTCCATTTTCAAAAGTTACTAGGCACCTAACGCCCATCCCTTTGAGGATTTGGACCCAAGTCACTCAAAAAAATAGGACTTAGGAGCCTAAATCACTTAGATACTTTTGCAAAATATGATTGTTAATCTCTTTGTACCAAATATGATTGTTAATCTCTTCCCGTCTCTAAAATGGGGATGCAAATATTTCCCTTCTCCTACTCTATTTATATTGCAAGCTTTTCAGGGCAGCTACAGTCCCTTACTTTGTGATTGTACAGGGCCTAATGCTAATCTCAGTTGGGGGCCTTTATGTACTAAAGTAAGTAATACAAAAAGAAACAGTGGGTGGAATTTTGAAATTCAATAAAGATTTGGGTGCCAAACTTCTAAGTGCCTTTGAAAATTCCAGTTTATAATAATAGGCTGCAGGCAAACATACAATCAATAATGAAAAATCTCAGGTTAGACAAGGGAATGTTTAAACTCTTTGGGCATGCCTTCTTTTGTGTTTGGAAAGCATATTGTGGGCATGCCTGGAAATGAAGTAATAATAAATTATAATAATAATTTTATGTTAGAGGGATGCTATAAGAAAATAGGGTGGTACTTTCTTGCTGTATGAAGGAGTGCTAATATGAAAGGTTAAGAATTCCCTGTTGCTGGGAACTGGGGTTCGATTCATTCCAAGTTTTTTGTTTCTCTAAGCATGCCTGTTCAGTCAGTCAAATCTTCTATGCTCTCTGCTTCTCACCAAAGACAACCTTATGTACCTGTGAAATTCATGGCTTTTTAGGCTCCTGATTCCAAGGAGGAACTCTCTTCAGTCTAGTTTGTTTTGGTGTTTGTTTGTTTTTAATCTGGAAAACAAAAGGGAGAAGGTCGTGGGCTTTGGGTTCACAGAAATTCCAAGCTGCATTCTCCCAATTTCAGCAACAATTTGTGCTCTATACCCACTTTCCTTCCCTCTCAGGCAGAATCAAAACACATTTTTCTTCCATGATGTCAGTGTACTCACAGTGATGGTGGGTTAAACAGTCAAGGAAAACTAAAAAGCAAGAAGGAGTACAGCAAAAACTGTATCTCAGAGCCCAGCTGTTCTCTGATGGTTACTGTTTCTTACAGGGCTGCAGAGCTTGGCCCCAAAAACTTTCCTTGATCACTTGCTTGAAAAAGTGCTCCAGGATATGTTTTCAGAATCTGTTTTCCTTTCATCCCTTTTCATGCCATCTTCTCCCATCGTCTCTGTTAAGCAGAAATGGTAACTCAGGTTGACATCACTTCTACAAGAGATGTGGAGCTATTGAATTATCTAAGGACAATCCTAAATACCAGCTTTTAAAGGATAACTGATCCACTAAAAGCAAGAATTGTTTTAGACATGCCATGTCACATTTATAACGCTTCATTTTGCATTGCATTATGTTATGTCTTGCAATGTTATTTTAACAAATGTAAAGTGGCATCACACAACATGACAGGTGCCTCAGAGACTGAAGGAAAGCCAGTATCCAGATCCAGTATCCATTATATCTTATTCTATATAAAGGAAATAAACAGTAAGATATTTGCAGAGTATGCAGATTGAAAGAGGCCAGAGTCTTCCCCGATTACCTAATGAAAATGCATCTCTTACATTTTCTCTCTCTTCTTTGCAGTTAATATTTTATTTGCATTGGTTAAATCCTCTCTTCTTTTCTTCTAAATTTGGTAACAAGATAAGATGAATCCCTTTGTTTAGCCTTTTAATTAGTACTGACAATCTTAGGGAATGTATGAAACCAGGACAGTTTCCTTAGCGTACCACTCTTAAAGAAAATAATTTCCCTGGATTATAGTAAAAAAAACTTCTGTCTGTTCAAATAGACTTCAAATCAAGTAGCATCCCAAATGATACTACGGCAGCATTCTGCAAAAGTTGTCTGTCATGGTAGATCACCTTCCTTGCTCACTCCAGATATGAATCCCAGTTAGAACCGGTCTGAAAAAAAAGCTATTTTCCTTAAAAACCATTCACTCCCCCTTCCCCCCCCCCAAAAAAAATTAAAGGTTTTGTTGGATTCAACAGTTTCCACAGAAGTTTCTAATTTTCATTTAATTTCAGATCAAAAAGTTTTGTTTCCGTTTCAAAATCCAAACCATTTTTGGTATAGAGAACTCTTTGTAGGGGGGGAATGGTTCTCCATTTCTCTCCCTCCTACACACACACACTTTTTCAGGAGCACCTAAAAAAAACAAAACACAAAAATGTTTTAGGTTTTGAATAGCAAAATTAAACAAATGCTTCTATTCAAAACTAAGTGAAAACTTTGCTTTCCTCAACAAAATTGGAATGGTTTGAAGGAATTGAAAATTGTTGGCACACATTTTCATTTTATTTCAAACAGGCTTTTTTCTGGTCAGAAAACCCTTTGCCCAACTCTAGGGAACCTCTGCAGCCTTACACAAAAAATGATTGGCTTCCTCTGGGCACAGGCATCCAATTGCACTGAATTCACTGCAGCTCAATCCCAGACCAGGGTCTCCATTCCAAAAGAGAAGTTAGGGTTCCCATGAAGTGCCATGACTAGGATTATACTACACTAATATTTAATGGGTTTGCTTACCTAACTACCTGGTTCTCTGAATACTTGCTGGATGAATATAATAATTGGCAAGTGATGTCTGACTAGCCATATGTTGTTCAATTTGTATCCACTGGTGCCCTGAACTTGCCTTTGTCCAAGCTGCTAAATATTCTATCTGGGAGGCCTTTTTTATTTAATCAAAGGAAAATACTTTTTCTCTCTCTCATGGAAATTTCATTCATTTTTAAATGAAAAATGAGTTTTATTATTGTGCTCTTCAAATGTGTGAGGACAATACACTGGTAATGCCTGGCATGTATGTGGCTTATTTTTTATTTGGCTACAACTCTTCACAGAATTATTGCTGTTCGGAACACACCAAAAGGAAGTCTCCTGTGCAAAATAGGATTTAGGCTGGCTGATAAAGAGGAAGTATTTCTTCTTTTAATATTAATTTCTACTGGATACCATTCTCACCAGAGTAGAATTGTAGCTTGATGTTCTTTTAGGGTCACACAGTTCCTGTCAGACCTCCCATCTTTTTTTTTTTTTTAATTCCCAAGTTTTCAATTTTCATTTAGTAGTGACACTACAGGTTTAGCTTTTAAAATATTGCTAGAGTATTGTTACTTCTTTTGGACCTGAACAGCTGGCCAAATTTGGGATCGTGTGGATTGTTGCCTCTAGTAGGAGGAGTTGATAATGGAGTCAGATATTTCTTTGATGCAACCCTGTTTATCTACAAAGAACGTACAAAGTCCTGTCTCCCTGAACACAGTAAGAATCAAACACCAGGAGTCAGTCTTTTTGCACACAGTACCAAGCCTCTTTCCAGCCAGTGCTTTTCCCACCAGTTTTCTCTCTCCGCTATTCTTAAAATCACTCTACAAGTGCGTTTCTGGCTGTGTCATGACTTCCTTGCTGCCCTCTCTGTGTGCTTCTCTGGCGTTTCTGCTGTTTGTCTCACACACACAAACACACATCTGCAATCCAATCAATTCCCTATTACTGCATTTGTTATCAGACCTCCAGGGAACCCCTTGGACTGCATAGCCCAGCCACAGCCCAGGCTAGCATGTGGCCTAATCCTTGGGCAATGGTTTTCCATTGTTTCAGCTATCACTAAATAAGGGAGCACTTAAATGTTCCCTCATTTAACTTGCACAGAAGAAAGCTGTCATGCCCGGGAGCTTCAATGTGATTACCCAACCCCCAGTACAACAGCATTAATACAGATTTACAACCTGAATACGGGACCAGTTTTAGTGCATCAGAATATATAGCAGCTGTAGAAAGTTTAACTTAGTCCTATGACATTTCTAGATTATCAGTTTCCCAAATCTTACACAGTGAGAAATCTGGTTGATAGACAAGTGGCAACCATGCTGACAGTCTCGATTTGTAATCGTCAGCCAATAAAGGACACAGCTTTACAACCACTGCATCCAACTCAGACCACAACTGCATTATGGCACAGGCACTATAGGCTCACACTTAGGACCCCCGCTGCCTGAGTCTGCAAAGAGCCTGAAGCGATAGCTCTGAGAGTTGTGAATGCACCCAGGTCTCTCAGTTTGTGTCCACTGGTGCCCTGAACTTGCTTTTGTCCAAGCTGCTAAATATTCTATCTGGGAGGCCCAAATACTAATCACATTAGTGTTAATCACAGCCAGGAATAGTGGGGGTCCTGACAATACTAGAGGACTGTCTGTAGGTCAGGAGGAGAAGAGTGCAGCAGGCCTCACCCAAGCATCTGAGCTAAGTACTGAGGTGGGGAGAAAGGACCCATGCTGCCACCTCTGCTGCTCCTGAGGGGAGTAGAAGACCAGCTGCCCTTCCTGAGGACAGAAAGGGGCACTGCCCCTGCCTCTCAGGGATAGAAACCACCTGCCACACCAAGTTGGTGGCAATGCTCCAGGGGCAGCGCTATGGGGGGAACCAGTGTCATGGTGTGCCAAGGGCCCCAGATCGTCTTAATCCAGCCCTTAAACGGGGTCCATTTTTGCTGCAGCCGGTCCCTTCAGCTGTGGTTTTTGTCTGTTTACACAGGTTAGGTGTTCTGTTACGACTTTGCTGTAAACTTCTGGTCTGAAATATCTCTTTGAGAGGGAGGCCCAGCGCTTCGCACACAGGATGGGGAGCACTGGCTTCTGTTTCTGACTCCACCACAGACTCTCTGGGTAAAACCCAGGCTACACTGAAGTCAGTGGAAGTTTTGTCAGCCATTTCACTGGGGCAAGGATTTCATCCTCTGGGTGACACTTGACTTCTCAGTGCAATTCATGCTACCGCTCTGTGCCTCGTCTCTAAACTGAGTGTACTGACAGAAAGGGGGGCAGGGAGGCTTCATGAATGAACAGCCGTAAAACTCAATGAAAGCCTTGGCTATAAGGCACCACAGAGGAGTCAAATATTATTAATAATTATGACTATTCATAAAAATAGACCAAAGCTGCACATGTTGGCACAGCCAGAGTTTGCGAGTGTTTGGGCTCACACCCATGCCTGATGATTTGTCCTTGTTATTATTAATAACCCCCTCAACATTTATGCACATGCACTAAGCTCCATTTTACCAGCCTCCATCAAAGACTGCAAGGAGCTGGAGCTGGCCAACGGGGATTCCAGGAGCCAGCCTGGATTTTGCACCAGATACACATTGTTCTAGGGCAGGATGCAGAGTAAGATACATGTCGCTGTTGTGGTTTTCCTGGGCCGGTTTGAAACCAAGAAATCTGTGAAAAATATTGGATCTGACCTAGTGGCAACTAGTGACCAAATGTAGGGGTAGGGTAGAGCTGCATATACCAAAGTACCCCTTGCCCCTCTCCCCCAATCTCCCTCTCCTATATCTCCCCACGCAGAGTGACATCCTCATTTAAATCCATCCTATTTGTATGCACACACACATCCTCTTTCGCCCACTCTCCAGTCCTGTCAGCCTACCCCTTCTAGCTCAGATCTCCTCAAGTTCCTCCTCCCCCTCTTTCCAACCCAACCTCCTCCTCAGAGACTCCTTCCCATCCAATCTTTCAAGGGTCATTCCCAACACCACTAGATGCTGAACCCCTCAGCTCAGAAACTCCCACTCCCAGCCGAGTAGCACGGCCCCCTTTTCTCTCAAAAGCTCAGAACCTACAAACTGCTCAGTTTCCATGGCGCAGAACCCCCTCCTCTGTCGGTTGTCCCTGCTCAAAACCCTTCTGCTCCCACTTGATCCCCCTAAGATCCACCCCCACAGAACAATCCATCTTCAGACTCAGGGGGCTTCTCTCTTCCAGCTGAACCCCAACCTGCCCACACAGAAGCCCTCCTCCCAGGCTCAGACTGAGCCCCTCTGCACCCCACTAAAAAGCCTGACCTTCCCATTCCCAGACATACCTGCAGCACAGAAACCCACCCTACCTCTCGCTGGAACAGGAGAAGCAGGGAGTACAAGGGCAGTCCAAGGAGTCCTATAGCCTGTGGTTGTGAGGCTGACCTGGATTAACTCCGCACAGGCTGGGAATCCCTGTTGAGTGACTGCTCCCTCTGTTGTCTGCAGTGGAGGAGCAGTGCCCTCGAGCCTCCAGCAGCTGGAGAAGCTTCACCCACCAGAAATCCCCCGCTGGCAGCAGAATGGTACTGCACTCAGCATTTCAGTAGCCAGCCCACTATAGCACCCAGCTAGCCTAATTC